GCTGGCTCAGTCAGTAGAGCATGTGACTCTTGATCTCAGAGTCAGGAGTTTGAGCCCCACCTTGGGTATAGTGATTACTTAAAAAATAAATAAATAAAAAATAAGTAAATAAAGGGGCAATTATTAAAAAAAGAAAAGCCTGCCTCAGATGTCTTATATTTGCATTCAATTTGCACTAAGATCGTTAAGTATTCTGAATCTTAAGTTACCGACCTTCTCAACCAGAGGTCATTAATACTTACACATTTATTATTGGGCTAGTATAAACTAAAAGAAGAAAAAAGGCTCTCACAGGGCTGAGGCTCCACTATGGTCTCATAGGAGTTCTAAACAATGTTTTTGGTAACTGTCATTTTCCAAATATCAAAATATGCAGAAAGTAAAGGTCTTCAAAATATAGGCTGTCAGTAACTGTGGTAAATTTTGAAAGTCACCTCATCTCAGACCTCTGTGCGGATGTACCAAGTAACAATCATGGAAAGCCAGTTTAAAATCTATTTCATTTGAAACCTTTTCTATTAAATGATAAACATTAGGAGGCATAACACCATTTTACATGTCACCAGAACTTCATAGTCAGCAGAAAAGAGAACCAAGTGGCCAAATGAGCATTTCTATAATGTTTCATAATTATTACCTTCCTTGACGTCATGTCTTAGGGCACTCAAGCAGGCAGCATTAATAGCCCCTGTCATTTCCTGTCATTAATCCCTAGGTTTTCCCCAGAAACATACAACCCACAAGGAGATTCTTCTGCCAGTTAGAAAAGATCAATTCAAAAGATGCAGAAATCAATATGCAACTCTGAATGGGCATGAAGGCCATAATAAATTGCCGCCTACACATGGAATTATATTTTGTAGATTGACAGTGTGTGGGCAGAAGCAGCAGAAGCTTATGTTAAGACCTTATATTATAGTTGGGCTTATTTTATATTGACTGGCTTATTTCATACTGACTGGCTTTTCTTTGGCTGCCAAAGAATGGATCACGTTCAAAAGCTAAAGCCAAGCTGGCAATCCTTTCTTTTTGCCCTTCTCTCTAAAAATTACCCTAAATAGGAGTGCCTGAGTGGCTCAGTCTCTTGAGCACCTGACTCTTGGTTTCAGCTAGGGTCATGATCTCAGGGTCTTGATATCAAGCCCTGCGTGGGGCTCTGCGCTCAGTGGGGAGTCTGCTAGAGATTCTCTCTCTCCCTCTCCCCCTTCTGCCCCTCCCTCCACCCCCCAACCCCCGTATGCATGCGCACACACTCTCTCAAATAAATAAATCTTTTTAAAAAATGTAATTACCCTACATAAGTTAGGCAATATAGCCAGTTTACACATAGAGGCCTGATTCAAAACTTCAGTTCTCTAAATCATTTTGCCTCTCTTCTCAGTGATACTTAAAATTCTAGGACTCCAGAGTTACATTCATAAACACATTTATAAATACCACTGACCCCCCCCGCCCAAACATACCACATGACTAGTACATGCCCCAATGGAGACCAGAATAAAATAACACCCTACTGTGGAAATGAGGGCTTGAAATAATGCAGCTGGCACTCTCCTCTTATCCATGAATGAGGCATTTGGGATTGCTAAGAAAACATTTAGCTTTCAGAAGTATGCTGCTACCAGGAATGGAAAGGATCTCACACCTCCTTTTCTTTCCTAATTCTAAAGTGGTGGGCAAAATGTCTACTTTTATTGGTTTGAAGTTGTCTAACCATTGCCAAAGAATAAGCAAAGCAAATTATATACACATGCTCTCCTCCTAAACAGCTACCTCCTTTGCAAAGCTGTCTTGATTCATTATTTAGAATGCATAGCTTTCTTCTCCACATTCTATCTTATAATTTATACCTCCACTGATATTTGCATTAATATTTTCTATATGAGTAATGTGTTTACAGGTATCCTCTTACTAAACTGTAAACTTCCACAACTCAGAGACCAAATTATTATCTCTCTGGTCCCCAAAATGCCAAGCAGAGTACTTTATAAATGGCAGGTCCAACATAAATGCTTGATGAATGAATAAATATGGTGGTGTTAGCTTTATGATGACTGGAAGTTACGATTTGAGTTCTAATAAAAGTTGAAAGTAAATAGGGTAAAGAAAGCACCCTTCTTTTCTCTGTATTTGGTATCATGATTGTGTACACTCAAGAGGGAAATGGATTTACAGATGTCCTCTTGAAAATACATTTTATATTCAATATGTCTATTTTTGACAACCTTCAAGTAAACTATCTTTTAGAGAAGACTTCCAAGCTTACACTGAACTTGATGAGGAAAGTTCCAATCAGTCAGACAAATGGTATCTACTTCCTGTGATGGAAGAGTGCTGTGAGATGCCTCAGAAAAACACTGCAAAATCCTAACAGCTGAGAGCATGACGCTGCAAGACTCAACTAAACAGGTGCTGCCTATATAAAGCAATCAAGAGAAGAAACCCTGAATTTAACTGAGAAGGAAAAATGGTCTTTAGTTCTCAAAAAACAAGGGTTTATGAGAGACTACAGACTCTGAAAAACAAACTGAGGGTTCTAGAGGAGAGAGGAGTAGGGGGATGGGTTAGCCTGGTGATGGGTATTAAGGAGGGCACGTTCTGCATGGAACACTGGGTGTTATACGCAAACAATGAATCATGGAACACTACATCAAAAACTAATGATGTAATGTATGGTGATTAACACAACATAATTAAAAAAACAAGGGTTTAACTAGGGACTGATTTATGAGGATTGACAACTGTTTCAGGTATACAGAGTAAGAGGTAGAATGTGTCTAAAGAGAGAAAGGAAATGAAAGTCATCTCAAATAAAATTCCCCTCACCCACTCTATTTTAATTTGTTTGCACGTTATTTTACTACTGGATACAGGGTTTGGCCAAACTTTAACAACTAGTTACTGGAAATTTCTACACAATGATCAATTTCTCCCACAATGTACATTTTTTCCTTCCAAAACAAACAAGCTACTTTGCTCTGACAGGGACAATTTCCAGTCTCTTATTGAAAGGTACAAGTGAAGATGGGTAATTGAATATCATACAGCACTTTTGAGTTCATTAGGCCATTATCCCCTGGGGTAGATTTAATCAAAAGATGAAGAGTACAAGCTCAAAAGCTTTTAGGTGACAAGAAGCAGGTCTTTGGCTTGGGATTTTTGTGTTTGAGTTGTAAGTCAGCTTCACAGAAAAGTAATCAGAAACTAGCCTGGCCAGAGATTAGAAAAGATCCTTGAAATGAAAGGTGTGAGACCATGGGTTCTACTTGTGACTTGGTCTCTTAACAAGCGTAGGGACCGTGCACGAATTACTTAAAACTCTCATCTGTAAAGTAAGGGACTAGACTAATAATTTCTAAAGCCCCCTGTGGCACTATCAATTTTTCATTGTCTAATATTGTTCCTTAAGTCATAGACTGGTTCATTCAATTATACGAATACCTTCAATGAACATAATAAAGGACAGCTTCTGCCCTCAAGGAGTGGATAAATCAGTGGGAAAAGTGAAGACTTACCCATAGCTTCTAGGTGCTCATTCATCCATTCAAGTTCTAAACAAAGGTCACAAGGAGTAGGAGAAACTCCACAGAAGCTCTTAGGAGGAAGAGAGGAATTTACCAATGTTTACTGAGTGATCTCTGTGTACCAGGCACTGTGCTGGGCACTGAGGATCTTGGAGTGACCCAGACAGATCAGGCCTCTAATAAAGCTTACCTGCATTCTCGGTGGTGAAGAAAAACAGATTAACAAATAAATGAAATCCAGATAGCTATAAGTTTTAGGAAGGAAAACAATAGTAATGAGAGACAATAACTACAACAATAGTAATGAGAAACAATAACTGTGTGTGCAGGGTGGGGTGGGATGAACTTTCATTAGCATAGGGTTGAGGAGAAAGCGAAGCTGAGACTTGAGGGCAGATGAGAATGAGGACAGCCAGCATGGAGCGACCCTCCAGAGGGAAGTGGGTAAATACTGATGCCGAAAGGGCTGGAGCAGAGAGACCATCTGCCAGGCTGGACCTTAAAGAGCAATTACTTCCGGAACGTTTAGGATTAAAGCAGTCATTCTCAACCAAGGGCGATTTTGCCCCTCAGGGGACACCTGACTACATCTGGAGGTATTTGGGGTTGTCACAATTTGGCAAGGAGAGTACCACTGCGAAGGCTGAGAAAACCTGCACTAAAGAACTATTACAACCCAGAGCACCTGGGTGGCTCAGTTGGTTAAGCGACTGCCTTCGGCTCAGGTCCCGATCCCGATCAGAGCCCGATCGGGCTCCCTGCTCAGTGAGGAGCCCGCTTCTCCCTCTAACCCTCCCCCCTCTCATGTACTCTCTCTCTCTCATTCTCACTCTCTCAAAATAAATAAATAAATCTTAAAAGAAAAAGAACTATTACAGTCCAAATTATGGTTTTCGTCATTATGTTATTAACTCATGTTTTTACCAACTTGGATCTTTTTTCCTTTACTGCAGAAACAAAAACAGGTTACAAGCGGCCCCATGCTTCATCCACTCTCTAAGAAATCTCATCGCAGAGATTCAAGGGACTCCGTGAACCTCTGAAAAGCTCCACAAGGTAGTGAATTTGTCCCTGAACGCGCGGGAAAGGATCTGAGGAAACCCACCACCCAACTGCTCACGGGGGTCACCTGTACGGAAGGGACTGCGACTAGGGGCCGTGGAAGAGGAGAACAAACTCAGGTTTCATTTGCCTAATTACAAATCGATGTTCAAAATAATGCAAAGTGGGGTCCATGCTAGGGAAGAAGTGGAGATGCCTCAAGGATTAAAACCTCTGTCTCTAGATCTCTAGCTCCCGCTGCCGACTTCCGACTTCCGCATTGACACCCGTTCCCCAAAGCTCTAGATGCTTCTCCCAGATGCCTCCCTGCGCTGGCTTCAGACCTCTCTGCCCCACCCCCTCGCCCCAGTCCGGGTCCCAGGCTCTCACCTGGCCCCGCCCGCGGCCCGCGAGGACCTCCCGCCGCCGCCTCACCTGGGCCTTCAAGCGTCTCCTCAGCAAGATCTACGGCAGGCTGTCCTCGACGTACCGGTTGCCGAGGCGGAGCGGAAGGCCCCGTCGGGGTCTGTGGGCGGCGCCGCGAGCCCGGCATGGGTCCCTCAGGCCCGGGAGCGCGGGGCCAGCCCTCGGAAGGGCGAGAAAGGCGGCAGTAGAGACGCTGCTCCGGCGACCCGAAGGCATGTGGCCTGCGAAAAAGGGCGAAGGAGGCGGGGCGCAGAGGACGCCGATGCTGAGGGGGCCGGGCCCGCCAGGGGTCCGTTAGCGGCCGCTCGCCTCTTTTTGCATATTCATGAAGCCGAACGGGGCGGACCGCCCAGGCAGGCAGCGGAGAGGTCATGAATTATTCATGAGGAAGCGTCTCGTCCCGCCCAAAAAAGGCCTGTTGACTATTCATGAGCCTGAGAGGGTTTGGGCTGGAAAAGGCCGTTGGGTACCCACCCTTCTGTGAGAGGCGTCGACGAGCTGAGATGAGGGCTGTCCAGACGAAACGTCTCCGGGGAAAGAGCGCTTGAGCATCGTCAGTTTCCTAGGCTTAGGTTAATTTTTTTTCTTTTCTTTTCCTTGAGGCTTTAAGTTTGATTTGAAAGTATTTCGCTGAGGCTCGAGGTACTCTGAGGAGAAAGGGGAAGGCGGGGGCTGAGGAAAAAGAGAAAGGGAAGCTTCTAGATAGCACCCCACCCCCTCCCTCTACTCCCGCCCTCAGCGTTCGATTTTGAAAATTTTACCCTATAACAGGAAAAAAAGAAGTGGAGAGAATCGTAGTGGGAACACCCGCATTCCCGCTATCAAAGGTAGCTCTTGAATTCAGATTTCTGTGGGAAAGAAGGAATGAGTTTTGGTGAGGAAGCAACAGCGGTAATTAGCGGCCAAGCAGTGGGTCAGGCCAACGACTTCTGTGTATTGCTGGGGGTCGGAAGTGGAGCTTTGGGGGTGATCTTGGCTAGATCAGGTTTTCTCCAGTCATGGAGGTGTTTTGCCAGAATCAATGCCTGGCGCAGACCAAGAGATGACAGAGCTGGGGATTGGTCCCCACGGAATGACCTCGGCTCCTTTGCTACCTTTTCCAAAACGTGCCGTTTAATTTCCACGGACTTTAGTTCCCCAAACAGTACAGGGGGAGAAAGTGCCTTGGAAATGCAAGATTAGCCAATCACCAACATGTGTTCAGGTGTGCAGAGCATGGGACGGAGGTGTGCAGTACACCGTGCACTTGCCTGGTGAAAACGAAGATAAAGCACGGTTCTTGCCCCTAAAGGAGTCTGATTTAAATTAGGCTGAGTCTAATTTCTCCCCCATTGGATCGTCAATCTCTTGAGATGTGAGCAGTATTTTGCATCTTTGCAATCCTACATGATGCCTGGCACACTGTAGTCACCCAGTAAATGTTGAATGAATAAATAATCGAAGTAGCCCGAAGAAGATATTAAAAAAAAACAAAAGAGCATGAACAAATATCCAGTTAATATAGTGGAAACCATTTACTCTGAGTGAGCGTGGAGAAAGGGAATTATCAGAGCCAAATGGGATTTGTTAAAATGGTGAATAATAACTTATGGAAGCAAACTCTGAAGCCTTTGAGTAACTGGGTGACCTTTGACAAACCAAGTTCTTTTGTTGGACTTCACTTTCCTCTTCTTTATAGTTTTGTATTTTACATTTAAATCCATGACTCATTTTGAATTAATATTTGTATACAGTGCGAGATTTAGGTTGAGAGTTTTTGTTTTTTTGTTTTTGGGTGTTTTGTTTTGTTTTGGCCTATGAATGTCCTATCATTCCAGTACCATTTGTTAAAAAGACTGTCCTTCCTCCACTAAATTGACTTTCCTTTTCTTTGAAAATGAAGGAATTGGATTATCTGTTTCTCCTTTCCCTTCCAACTCTATGATGCTAAGCCCATTTATGTCAAAATGTACTTTCTTTGTGTAAAGTCATCATTCATATCAGGCAAGAAAGGTCATCTAGTTGCATTTTAGAATCCAGCTATTAGATATTGTTCATTTGATAGAAAGGGGATTTTCTTGTTAAAAAAAAATGGTTTGGGAAGATTGGGAAAGATGGGTGGGGAGCATTAGGAAATCAAGTATTATAGTCTTTGTGCAAACATAATAAAACTGGTTTTTACTTCACTCAGAATGGCCAAAGGCAGGGGGCGGGAAGTGGCTTAGGCTTTAATACGCTGAACAATAGCTGGTTAATCTTTATCTGAATCTTGGATTCACACATACAAGGGTAAAATAGTAAGCAATTGTGTCACCATTTTAAATAGGGCAGTTGAGATGTAGGTTAAGAGGTAAGCCTAGCATGAGTCTTTATCTGAGAAAGCACAGATATCTTTTTTTTTAAAAAGATTTTTATTTATTTGACAGAGACAGTGAGAGAGGGAACACAAGCAGGGGGAGTGGGAGAGGGAGAAGCAGGCTTCCTGTGGAGCAGGGAGCCCGATGTGGGGCTCGATTCCAGGACCCTGGGAGCATGACCTGAGCTGAAGGCAGACATTTAATGACTGAGCCACCCAGGCGCCCCAAGCACAGATATCTTACCTCTTCTCAAGATCATAATTCTTGTCACAGAGTAGAGATATCAAGTATAAAAGTGAATGCTATTGATGCCCTGTGAAATTTCAGATGTTTGTGGGTCAAATATGCAAGCAAATGTATAAATGAAAGACATTTGAAAGTTAGAGTTCTGTTCTTAAAATCCATAATTATGAAATCTCTCCTAGGCTTTTAGATAATGAGTTAGAAAAAAGTGATAAAAAAAATCACAGTTATTCTCTGAGAGTGCATTATCTGTAGTGTCATACCTCCTGGGGCTGTCAGCTTGTGAGGTTTCAAAATTAAGCAGAGTTTGTACTTGAATAGGAGACTTCCACAAAACACCTGCTCAAAGAGAAAACAACAGTAGCAACAGAATAATTAAAGGTTAAAAAGAGTCTGGCTATTTAAAAAATATATATATTTAGATATGTTTTGCTTTTCTAAAGCAAGCTCATTCTAGAACAACAGAAAAAGACACTACTGTGTTTAGAAATACACAAGCAAGCTCCACAACTAGGAAGGCACTGGTAGTGCATCATTTTAAATGGAATGAAAGCAAGGGCGCCTGGGTGGCTCAGTCGTTAAGCATTTGCCTTTGGCTCAGGTCGTGATCCCAGGGTCCTGGGATCGAGTCCCACATCAGGCTCCCTGCTCCGCGGGAAGCCTGCTTCTCCCTCTCCCATTCCCCCTGCTTGTGTTCCTGCTCTCGCTATGTCTCTCTGTCAAATAAATAAATAAAATCTTTAAAAAAAAATTAAATGGAATGAAAGCAAAAAGGAATTTCACTTTAGGGAGTCATTGTAGAAAAACCCCTAAATCGTGAGTCAAAATTTCTTGAGTTTTATTCTCAATTCTGCCACTAAGTGTTTGACCCTGAGTAAGTCAGTTGACTTCTCTGGACCCTGATTTCCTCATCTAGAAAATTAGATGTTTGGACTAGATGACATTTAAAGCTCCTTCTATCTCTAATATTCTGTAATTCTTTTCTAGACACTTAATACTTGTTCTTGTATTACTTCTCTATTGATTCAGCAAATGTTTATTGAGCATCTATTTTGTAATGGTGCTGAGGATTCAAGAATGAGCTGAACGAGACATAAAAGGTCATATATTACATGATTTCATTTTCTTTTTAAAGATTTTATTTATTTACTTGTCAGAGAGCACGCACAAGCAGGGAGAGCAAGGACCTCGATATGGGACTCGATCCCAGGACTCTGGGATCATGACCTGAGTCAAACGCAGGCATTTAACCCACTAAGCCACTCAGGTGTCCCTACATGATTCCATTTATATGAAATGTCCAGAATAGGCAAATCCATAGAGATGAAACGTAGATTAGTAGTTGCAGGGGGCAGGGGGCGGGGAGACTGGGGAGTCATTGGTAATGACTACAATTAGTAGTGATGGTTGCAAAACTGTGAATATATTAAAACCCACTAAATTGTACTTTTTTTAAAGATTATTTATTTATTTATTTGACAGAGAGAGACACAGTGAGAGAGGGAACACAAGCAGGGGGAGTGGGAGAGGGAAAAGCAGGCTTCCCACCAAGCAGGGAGCCCGATGCAGGGCTTGATCCCAGGACCCTGGGATCATGACCTGAGCCGAAGGCAGACGCTTAAAGACTGAGCCACCCAGGCGCCCCTAAATTGTACCTTTTAAAAAAAACTTGAAAAAATAAAGAATGAGCTAGACAGACACAACTTTACCCTCATGTTAGCTCACAGTAGGGTGGGATGGATACTTAAATGCAACCATGATACTGTATATGTTACAGTGGGCATATAACAACTTGGTGGTGGTGGTGAATAAGGAAATAGTTCCTTGAGAACACTATACTAAGCCAAATCTAGGAGATAAGTGGGTATTGAGAATGGAGAAGGTTTCAGGCAGAAGGATTATTGCTAAAGCCTGAAAGCTGGAGAGAATATGGTGTAGGGTAACTAATGTTGATAAGAATAACTGATGCATAAAAGTGTAAGGGAAAATGGTTAGAGATGTGACTAAGGAGGCATGAGCCAGATCTTGAAACCATGGTAAGGAGTTTGGATTTTATCCTGAGGGCAGTGGGGAGCCATTGAAGAATTTCAGTCTACAAAGTTACATAATCAAGTTTGCAATTTAAAAAGGAAACTCTGGCTGCAATACAAAAGACAGACTGGAGAAGGGCAGAATCAGTGACGGGCCGACTGGTGGTTGTAGCAGTCCAGGCAAAAGATGAGGCTAATCTCATCTAAGCAGAGATAACAACAACGTGTAAAGTGAGGAATGGACACATTTGATAAATAGTAAGGAGACTGGATGCGGAAGTGTGGGAGGGTCAGGATTGAGTCATAGTTTTTAGGCTTGAGCAGTTAGGTATTTGATGATGTCATTTACTGAGCTAGGGAACAGAAATAGGTTTTGGGGGAAAAGAAGTGACATTTAGATGTGTTGGGAACGTCAAAGTGGAACTGTCTCATAGAGGTACAGATCTCTAACTCCCCAGAGAGGCCTGGGCTTCTGACATATAAGAATCATTAGAATAGATATAGTAATTGAAACAATGGAAATGTATTTGTTCATCCAGGGAGTGTGTTTAGAAGTAAGAAAAAAAAAAGGAGCTCCTAGTACAGAACCCTGAACACCAAACAC